AAGGAAGGAAGGAAGGAAGGAAGGAAGGAAGGAAGGAAGGAAGGAAGGAAGGAAGGAAGGAAGGAAGGAAGGAAGGAAGGAAGGAAGGAAGGAAGATAAATAAACTGTTGGATTTATTGAATTACCAAATTTTTATTATAAGTGATGATGGCTTTCCATCCTGTGCATTCCCAGATGAGAATGTCTCTGGAACATGGGAAGCCAGAGGTTGTTCATCTGTTTCACAGAAGCAAAGATTTCCCAAAAAAAAATACATTACAATGTCCCTTTAAAGGTCACACAGTTTACCCAGCTAGTTTTCAGATKTGCTAATTTAGAGATGAAACTACCCCAAATTGCTAAAGAGAAGTGAGACATGCTGGGGTGGAAGGCTCAGCTGTGATTGCCACAGGAGAGAACAAGGGCGTGGTTAGAGCCCCTTGAATGGTCAGTGGGCAGGGAATGTCTTTGTGGGTGATTTATTACAGACAAYTCTTATCAGGTGATTTATTACACACAACTCTTATCGGGCCCTAGACATTACACCATGCTGCACACTCCATGGAGGCTGAGAAAATGTGTGACTGACCTTCCTAAACTGATGGGAGGTGAGTGCTGTCCCCCACTGTCACTTCCAAAAAGTTGCACACTTACTGAMAGAGCAGCAATATCAGTGGTGAACACATTTTTCTCATGGAAACACCAGATTTAATGCCTTTGGATCTGCTGTCTGGTCTGGTTTCCGTATTCCCCCTGACAGAAATATTTTCCCCAGTGTTCTGCTGATGGCCTTTTTCATCTCAGTGTTTCTCAAGGTGTAGATCATGGGGTTTAGCATTGGGGTGACCACAGTAAAAACAACAGAGGCCACCTTGTCCCTGGGGTGTTTTTTATAAGGCTGGGCATAGGTGAAGATGCAGGGGATGAATATCAAGCTCACAACGGTGATCTGTGTGCCACAGGTGGACAGGGCTTTTCTCTTCCCTTCTCTAAGGCACGTCCTTATCTTMAGCAAGATGACAACGTAAGAAATAATCAAGATTGCAAAAAGGGTGATGAGAATCAGCCCACTATTAAACACCATCTGTAGCTCAGCCAGGTGAGTGTCAGCACAGGCCAGTTTGATGACCTGAGGGACATCACAGTAGAAATTGTCCAGCACATTTGGGCCACAGAATGGCAGCTGGAGAAGCAAAGCAGTTTGTATAATGGAATGCAGAAAGCCCCCGAGCCATGCAGTGGCCACCAAGCCCACGCACACGTTGTGGTTGATGATGGTCAGGTAGCGCAGCGGCTCAGAAATGGCCACGTAGCGATCGATCGTCATGGCCACGAGGAAAAAAGCCATGGCGCCCGCGATGAAATGGAAGAAGAAAATCTGGAGGAAACACTGGTTGAATGAGATCAGTGTGTGCTGGCTGAGGAGGCCGGACAGCAGTTTGGGAGTGTTGACCGAGGAATCACTGATGTCGAGCAGAGCAAGGTTGGCCAGGAGAAAGTACATGGGGGTGTGGAGCTGTGGATCTGCAGCCACRGTGGCGATGATGGTGAGGTTTGTCAGCCAGGTTATCACATAGATAAGGAAGAAGATCACATAAAGGCARTACTGCAGCTGGTGACTCTGTGTCAGGCCCAACAGGACAAATTCTGTCACTGTGGTGTTGATGTTCTTGATTTCCATTCTTTATCCCTGCATCACAACAATGAGAGCAATAAATATGACTACAGATGTGTGTTGGACTATAGAWTTATTAAAACATRGAASCATAGAATMATTTAAGTTGGGAGGGATTTYTGGAAGTCACCAATCTCACARACTCKGTGGACTGTTCTAGTATATGGCMAATCTTACAGGKGAAAAAAAAAMMCCAAACAAATTCCCTTACATTTAGTGAGAATTTCTGAYGCTCCAAGTAGTGTCTGTTGCCTTTCATCTCATTGTTGCATCTGCCCTGCCATCCAGGATGACTGACCACATTCCCCATTTTGGTATCCTCCACAATTCCTATCACTAAATGCCTTTCTATAAAATCCCTCTCTATTTCTCTTGGAGGTCTCTTTCTGGTATTGGAAGGCTGCTGAGTGCTTTCCCCAGAGCTTTCTCTTTTCTCCTTACACTAAATAATCCCCGTTCTCTCAGCCTGTTCCCATAGGGGAGGTGCTCCAGGATGACCATATTTATGACCCTCCTTGGATCAGGAGGTCCATGGTCCATTTGTGCAGGTCCATGTGTTCCTTGTGCTCAGGGCCCAGAGCTGAACACTGCAATTGTTGTCCAGGTGGGCTCTCAGGAGAGGGGAATATGTGGGTACAACAATCTCCCWTAAYTCRCTGGCCACGCTGCTTTTGATGCAKTCCAGGATAGGATTTGCTTWCTGGGCTGGGAGCAGACACTGACTTGACATATTCAGTTTTTCATCCACAAAATACCCTCAAGTCCTCCTCTKCAGGGCTGCTCTCAATCCAYTCATTTCCCAGCTTTGGGATTGSCCTCACTCAYGYRCAGGACTCTGTTCTTGGCCTCATTGAACTTTCTGAGGTTGTTCCCAGCCCAATTCTCTCCTGTTAAGGTCCCTCTGTAGGGCTCCCCCTCCCTCTGGAACACCAACCACACTCAGCTCGTGAAGCAGCACCTCTGCCTGGAATATATCTCACCTAAAGCAAGAACTTGCAAGTTAAACTGAGCTGAAGTTTATCCATGGAGCTGCAGGGGTTCTCTGTCTAAATTCAGGCAAAAGAGTCACCCACAGTGCACCTGCTGTCCCTAATACTCCACTCGCATCACTTGGACTGGCAGGACGTGTAAGTCCATGTGAGGTTGGGTGATGAGGGCACTAAAGAATAAGTAAGGACAAATGTAGAACGATCTCAGTTAAGCAAATCCCTGTTAGACAAGTTTTTGTGAGAACGAGATCATAAATTGCTGTTACTGAGCAACCCAGACTACAAGACAGAGCAAAATGAGATAGAAGAAGATAAAAAAGAAGAGGATGTAACTACAGCAGTGTAACATGTGCCTCGCACTGACCATGAAGAAAAAACATAGTAAGAAGCAAAAACAAAGAGCAATTAAAAAACAATAAGACGATTTTAAAAAGTGCAAAATGCTGAAAACGTTGATTTAAAACTGCAAAACATACAAAAATACGCTTTTCCAAATATACCAATCATATACTAAAATGTAATAGACAGATTGCTAAATTAACCAATAAATAATTGCTAATCATATAAAAAAGCTGACTTATAAAAGTACATAAAAAAGAGCTTATATTAGAAATAAATGAATCATCCTCATCATATTAGTGTCTGCGTAACCTTGTGCCCCCGTTAACCAAAAGACAAGGGAGGAGGCTGTCCCAGCTCCATCAGAGTCAGGAAATCTGGAGAAAGAATGTGCTCACCCTAAAGGTGACACCACTGTGGGGTGGCTGCTCCTCCTGAGGCTCCATSAACAGCTCAGTCTCAACCCCAATTTCTCTCCAAGTTCTGCCCTTTCCTTCTGTTAGATTATTACAAAGATCTCTGCAGCACTTTTGCAAACTTTTTTGCAGCCAGATAAGCGGCATGAGTTAAAATCACAAGAGAAAGTGTTTAAAGTTTTAGAAAAATAATGTTGTTCTATCCAGTGAATTTGGAGACGCTGTGAGGAAGTTCTAAGAGAAGATGGGAGCTGCTCTCCGGCACCCACAGCCCAAAGTGACTGAGCCCTTTCTCTGATGGGAAATTACTGTCTCTATTTGGCTGCTGAAACAAAAATCTAATTTCTTACAAGAAAAAGACATATGCAGGATAAACCATAACTTTTTTATTTTTCCCTATAAACTATTCCCAAAATGGAATTTTCTGAACATTTCCACTGCCTTTGGTGAATACTCTGCACGGATTCTGTAATTTTTTTCCCACCACAGTTAGCTCCTGAGTATCAGAGAATAATTCCATTTTAAACCCTTACAAACATAATCTTATTTTCTGCTTGAAAATTGCAGGTTTTTTTCACAGGTCCAAAAAAGGAAAGCCACTTTTGGTACAAAATCATGTTCTCTAACAATCCACAATTAATAACTGTGTATTCTTTGTATTCCCTCGTTTCCCATTCAAAAAATAGTATTTTCACAGATGCTTGTGGGAGAGAAAAAGCAATTTGCTTTTACCTCTAATCCAACCTTTCTCTTTTGCCTCAGTAATCTCCTAACATGAAACCAAGATTGAGCTCCAGCAAAAAACTGAAATACAGATTTCATTCTCAAGTTACAAGATAGCACAGCATAGCTCTACTCAGAGGAGCAAACCTACCTCCAACAGAARACTCCAAAAACCTTCCCTTGCAGGATTCCTGATGCCTTTGTTAAGGGAAATGATGGATTCAAGAAGAAAGCAACATCTCAAATCACATCTCACTTCTGGTCATTCAAAAGAGAATAACAATAATATAATTAGCAAAATGAGATTTTGTCACTGTGGGGCTAATTAAAAAGTTCTTGCAGTTCTTCACATCGTGTGGATCAGGACCACAAGCAAATGCTTGTGATAATTGGAGCTGAACTAAGATGGGAATTCCCTGTATAGGAAATAGAAGTGACTGCTAACATTGCAAGCAGAGCACAACCCCTTGGCTTGAGCCAGGCAATATTTATTTAAGTTTTAACTGGTTTGCTTACTCTGTGCTCAGCAATGGGAAGCAGACAACACTGATGGGCTGTTCACCTAAGATGAAGCCACTTTTGTGAGGTGCCTGTCCAATTCAGGAGCACCTCCACGGTTTCTGCTCTCTTGAAATGGCTTTGGGACAGAAGAAAGGAGAATATATATATATATATATATATATTACCTGTCCACAGTAACCTTCCCTATAGATCCAGGAACCATAAAGGCAGGTTAGCATGTTACCAAGGAAGAAAAAACATTACCCTGAAAAATGATAATGATAGCCTTGTCAGGACCTTTTGTCATACAATAAATCCTTTGAAGAGCTGGACCTTAAAAGAGGAAATAACTGCATTGAATTAGAATTATCCCTGTCAGCAGCTTTTGTTTCCTTCCCTCCTGCCCAAGTACTGCCAATTTCAATTCTGAGGGATGTGCACATCTCTGTCCATTTGTTTTTGACCACATGTGTGTGTGTGTGTGTTGAAGCAATGCAGGCTCCCTGCAGGTCTGCAGAAGGAGGGTGGGAGTGTGTGCTCAGAGATGATGTCCTGGTTCATTCTGGTGCCCTTTGACTTTCACCTGAGAACCAAGCTAATGTCACCTGCTGTTGATGTCACCAACAGCTCTCCTTCCTGGGCTGTCCAGAGCATTGCTGGTTGTTGTGGTTTGGAATGCTGGCCGAAAGCCAGGCACCCACAACACCTGCTTATTCACTCTCCCCCACCATCACTGAGCAGAGAAGGGCGAAGGAAAAAAAAAATTTACGAAAGGGTTCATGAGTTGAGATAAAGAGCAGGGAGGAAATGCTTGACGGACAAAACAGACACTACTTAAATTATGAAGTGAATTGATTACTAACAATTTCAGAAGAGGAGAATGAGAAACAAAATAAAACCCTCAAAGACACGGATCTTCTCCCCACTCCCTCCCCCCTTCCCACCGACTACAAAGCAGCGGCGGGGGTGAACAGGGTGGGAGTTGGTCAGTGTGGGGTTGGTCAGTTCAGGCTGTTGGAATTGGTCAGTTCAGGGTGTAGGGTTGGTCAGTGTGGGGTGTGGGGTTGGTCAGTTCAGGCTGTTGGAATTGGTCAGTTCAGGGTTGGGGTTGGTCAGTTCAGGGTGTGGGGTTGGTCAGTTCAGGGTGTGGGGTTGGTCAGTTCAGGGTGTGGGGATGGTCAGTTCAGGGTGTGGGGTTGGTCAGTGTGGGGTGTGGGATTGGTCAGTTCAGGGTGTGGGGTTGGTCAGTTCAGGGTGTGGGGATGGTCAGTTCAGGGTTGGGGTTGGTCAGTTCAGGGTGTGGGGATTGGTCAGTTCAGGGTGTGGGGTTGGTCA